TATATATACCTGTATCTCGATAAAAAGCGGCACAATTAAGTTTTATACAAACCCCTCAGAAAATGACCCCCTCAGAAAATGACTTGAATGTCCAAAATTCACATATAAACACTAATATCGCGATGAAATTATTATGAAAAATAAATCACATTTAATATTAATAACTGGTGTAGGGTATCATATGGTCGCGCACGTCCGACTATACTTACTAGTTTCTTTTTTTGGGAAAAAATTTCCTGGGCTAAGGAAAACCGTATACAAATTTACAAAAAAAAATTAATAAATTTATACTTTAGGATTAAATGATGAAAAAAAAAAAAAAATAATTATTATTAGGACTGGCACGAGGCACAATCCTGTATAAAAAGGAGACAATAAAAATTATTTTAAATACTAGCAACAGAATTGCTGGAATTCTCTGCAAAAATATGATGACATGCACTCAACTACTTGCTTTTTAATGAATACTTCAAACCAACTACATTACTTTTAAGTGGTAACTTACTTAGCCACATATTTGTAATGACTGATGTATGTCCTCACTTGTAAGCATATGTGGTATCGCCGCAATGTAGAAGAAATTTTTACTAAACCTATAAATTTACAATACAAAAAAATATTTTAAAACTATCGTCAATTGCATTCAATACAAATATCCCAGGAAAAACTTACATTGAAAAGTAATAAGTTAAAAAGCTAATAGAACCTCTTTTCAGTACTTCTTCATTAGCCTTTTAAGTCATTATTTACAAATAGGAAGTTAAAGAAGTACTTGCAATTTCTCTTGCAAAGAAGTTGTTTAGTAAGTTGTTTTATTCTATAATAATAAAAAGAGCCAGGGATACGAACCAGGGACTTCGGTTTGTTAGTCAACTGTTCTACTAACTGCACCACTGCTTAGCTATTTTATTGCGCGTCAAATAATGGTTTTAACATACAAATTTAATTTTGTTTTCTATTTTGTAAAACAAAGCCGTAAATAAAGTACTTCTATATCGGAAAAGAAGAAAGTCATTACTTCTAAGTAATGCAGACGATAAGTAGTAGTCATTGAAAAGTAAGTGGTTATGAAAGTACAACCCATTACCGAGTTTCTGCTGGGATTGTTAACATTGTTTTTCGGTGTAGTTTCTAGAACAAAGATATTAAATTTTTTGCAGGAATTTAGTCTGGTAGTCTTATATATTATTGCTGTTTATTTAATAACTTTTTCTACGAAATCTCTTTAAGGCTGCCGGCAGCCTTAAGTATATTTAAATTTTATACATGACAAAATTTTAATTTAACTAAGCTGATTTATTTTCCAGTATGAACATTTTTATAAAAAAAATATATCTTGTTTAAATAATTTGTTATAAGACTTTACTAAAGGGAAACAGAAAAAATGAACAAATTCCTAAATAAAAAATACGAAGTATTAAAAACAAGTAATTTAAAAAAAAGCTAATTAACAGTAAGACTATTAATAATGATAAATAAATACTTTCTAAGGAACAAGGATCTTAAATAATAAAGTTCAATAAAAAGAATCTTTAAGAAATTTAAAAGTTAAAAATTAGCTTAAATATTAGTTTTTTAAAATAGTATTTTAATAGTAATATAACAGAACACGTAAGAATGTAAAGTTGGGACTGACTGAGCATATGATACCCTACCCCAGAGAATAGTAGCGTGCGCTCAAGGTTTACATGGATACACAGATGGACCAACAGACAGACGGAAGGACATAGCGACAAATCGACTCAGTATGTGTTTCTGAGACGATTGGTATACTTTAAGGTGGATGTAGGGTTTTGGGTGTTATTACAAACCCATAATACTTTCCCCACTATAGTGCTGTAGGGTATAAAAAGGGAATTATAACTAAAAGTGCTCTTAAAACTAAATTATTAACTCACAGAAAATAAAATGACAATGAAAATGGTTTAAAAACGACTTAAAAGAATACACAAATATACACTACACAAAATTACCTTGGCACTAGACAAGAAAGGTAAAACAACCCACAGTCAGATTCAGGATAATCAGTGAACCAACAATTCTAACAGACAACCAAGTAGTCTGACGTCAAACATTAACAGTCAAAAGTCAATTAAATAAAAATCACAACACAGCGCAAAGTAAGTATGAAACGTACCAATACCGCAAGTAAAATTTTAATTAGACTTAATTAAGCGAAAATGAAACAAAATCTTATTTCACCAGCTAAAAAAAAAGGAACATATGTATGTCGCTCTAAATGTCTGCACAAGTTAAGTTAAAAGGGAGAAGAGGGTGTGTTTGTATGGCGGATTGTTTGCTTTACTTTAGCAGACTGCTGCTTATATCTTCAGTTCTAGGTATGACTTAAAGTCACGAGTAGTGGTAATACTTGTTAAAAGTCATACGAAATAATCAACCCTCTATAAAATTGGCCAACAAAATACTTCAATTAAAACCACACAGACCTTTATAGTATGTATTATGGTAGTAAAGACAAATATGTATGTACATATTTATAAAAGTATATATGTTTGTGTATTTTATAAAATACTTGAAATTTCTGCTCAATTTAAGTTAATTCCACTCGTTGTTTTTTGTCCCCTTGTCTTTTTCTGGTTCATCATTGACATCCATGCTACACATATTTAAATGGTTCACAAAAATAGCAACAATATAATGGAATCATAATGTAGGTTAAACATACCATGTCTGCTAAAAGTTGTAAAGACTAAAGAGACCTTAAATATTGTAATATTTACAATTAATATTATGTATAGTAGTAGTAGTATAATATTTAAGCTCCACTCCCTTTTAATGTTCAACTATATACATATGTACATATTTATTTGGTTTTCTTTGTATTTCCAATAGGGTTGGAGGACAGCAACTAACAAGCGGTAGTTTAATGTTTAAAATTCTATTTTATGGTTAATGTTCATATTCATGATTAAACAGTGTTACATACATATGTATTGCATACGTTAATGTTAATATTCATAAAGAAATTATTATGAACACTTGAAGAAATTTGTAAAACTGTGGTTAATGTTCAATTCAATTAATTGTAATTGAAAATATTGAAATTACAATTACAAGTAATTGTAATTTTCAAAACTTTAATTACAAGTAATTGTAATTTTAAAATTTTTAACTACGATTACAAGTAATTGTAATTTTCAAAACTTCAATTACAATTACAAGTGATAGTAATTCTCATAACTTCAATTACAATCACAAGTAATTGTACTGGTAAAGCTTGAAACGTAATTGTAATTGATAATGTAATCAATTTCCCCCAAGCCGGTAATTGTACTTAGTAAAGCTTCAATTACAATTACTTTAAAAGTAATTGTAATTCATAATGTAATCATTAAACCACCGCCTATGAACTTTTCCCTTCTTTCCGGCAACATTTGAATTCATGCCAAAAGGACTGCTCATCTTTTCAGGACAATAACAAATCAAGTCAATTTCTTATATCCAGGACTGAAGTTATATATATGAAACCAAGAGAGTGAGTTCTGTAGTGGAACGGGGCAAGGTCTTTACCATAAGCCGACTACAGTTACACTTTCCAAGCACTTCTATATTAACAGGTGGCCTAGCGTTACCATTATAGAATATTATGATTTCATTTCTGACTGCATATTCTGGACATTTTTGACCAATATTCACTTTAAACGAATCAGTTGCATTCAGTACAGGATGATGGTCTGGACATAATAGATAGTTAATTTTTGGTTGCATCAATTACAGAGCATTAGCTTAGGGTTATAGGTATTCTGCTTTATTGTCAATTCGATTGGTTGGCTGGCTTCACGTACTATCTTTCGCTTCGATATTAATACCAACCTCAATTTGATATTTGGAATAGGGCCTTTAATCAGACCTTAAGTCAATTATGCACCGTGCCCCTTCGATTTAGAAAATATTACATTTTACAATCATTTGTGGCAAATTTTTATAACCTTTAAATGATTTTCTTTAAGAGGGGTTATATGGGGGTTAGGGTTTAGGGTTATATAGGAAAATTTTGTCGCTGTACTCGTAATTTTAATTCAGACATAAGCGTTAGTCATTTTCTGAAGTGGATCTTCTATGGGGGTAGGGTCAGTTATCGACCGTTCCTCATGAAATTTGCTAGGAATATTTCAGTTTCTATAAAACTTATTTATGTCGAATTTCATCACTGCACTAGTATTTTTAAGCCAGTAATGACCGTTAAAGACACTTTCTGAAGGGGATCTTATATGGAGAGTACGGCCAATTATAGACCGATTATCATAAGAATTGATTTGCTTTGTATAGAACTTGTAAGTATAGAATCGTTATACTGGTATTATTAAAGTGACTATAATTGTAAAAACTGTTTTCCGCGGATCCACTTGGCTGTCCACTTGTCTTGTCCTATGCGAAAACGTGGACCGATATGACCAATACCAAATAAACCTTATCTATAGGGAATATTTGTGGAAAATTTCAACAGTCTAGCTCTTTCCGTTCAGACAACGGTCGTGCTTTCAACAAACTGACAGACGGATGGACATGACTCGATCGTTTTAGAATTTAATAAGGATCTATAATGTATAAACTTTTGTACATCTATGATCTATATTCCGATGTAGGAATGAAACAAGTTTTTGATGGTGGGTATATAAAAGATAATTTAAATAATTTCTTTCAGTGTAATGTTAGCAAAATAATTTCACATACATGCTAAGTTTGTATGTATATATGTCTACATACAATTAATTGTATATTACATTAAGTAAAATTCTTAACAACATACATACATTATGTTGTTGTTGTTGTAATTATAATTATTAAGTCATGATTATTATCTCGGTTAGTAGCTATTTAGTACAGAGTAAATATTTTGTGGTTCTTCTAACATGTATGTATATTTTTACTTTAAGTTCCATTAGGGGATGATGTTCATTGTTTTGGTTAACTTTGAGTTGCCTTTTTAATGTTCTTTCAATTTTTAACAGTGTAAAACTTTCATTGTATCTTTTTAGATGTTATAACAATGCTGTTGCTAATTTCGTAAAAAAAATAATTGTGGTTTTTTTTTTGAGAGCAAAACACAAAAGGTAAGTAAATTCCGAATCAAATGTATAAATATACATGCATATGTATGTGTGTATATGAACGTATACATAAGTACAAATGGAAAACCTTTAATTAGTTAATTAAGAAAAAAATATTTTGAAAAGTAATTAAATTAATTAGACTGAAATGTTTCTCATATAGAAATTTAATTGTGTGATTGCAGTTATTTATGTTGATAGAAATATATTTTTTGAAATTGTTAACTTAAATTAAGATCTAGAGGAATATTTCTACACTTGATCGTAGTAGAATTGTATGAACTTTCAGATAATTCTTATGGACTTGTAAGTTTCATAAAAGCTTTGCTCTGAACTCCTGTTAAATTTTCAAAATATTATTTTCAAACTTAATTTTGTTTAAATACATTCTACTTAAATAAGGATTATTCATTGATAGAGGAATTAGAATTTCATATTTTTGTAGCATACTTTTAGGGGAAAGTATATTAAGAAAAAATTTTATTTTTTGAAAATATTTTTTTTTTTTTAATTTCATAGCTTTTAAAAGTACATATTTCAATCACAATATAAATTTCAAATAAAATATTTCTTTTAAAATTTATAATAAAATTCCTAACATTCCATTTTTTACGATTTCATAATAAAATTTACCAGCAGATCCATAAATTTAACACAAATTAAAAATTTGCATTAATTTTACACTTTTTAACATAAAATCTCTCGAAAAACAAATAAAATTTAAATATTTTAAACAACAAATGAAATTCATTCTTTGACGATTTAATGCAAAAATCTTAAAAAATAATAAAATCATACAGAAGAGCAAAGGAAAAAAAATCGCTTTTAAAGATTTATTTCGTGTTACTATTTTAAATTATTCCATTATTTCAACAAACAACAGAATGAAAGACCTAATAAAAATGTAATAAAATTCTACGACAATGTATAATAAAGTGGAAATAATAACGAAAAAAAAAAAAGAACTCACATCTACTTACTTTACGTATTGTTCCATATATTTTATACTTTAGACTAGAAAGGAACTGGAAAAAAAATTTGCATATTCTTATAGGAACATGTATGTGTATAAATTTGACTATTTACTCCTTTTTGAAAACTGTTTCTTTATGTTTTCTCTCACTCCTACACACACACATTTGGAAATAAAAGATGAAAAAAAAAACAAAGAACAACATTTTATTCACATGGCATTTGACTATTGTAAGGACTCGCACACTCAGACATAACAAACGGATTTAGACATTTACAAGTACAATTTTACAATTTCATTGCTTAAAATTTACAACTAAATTATATTCTTAAAAAAACAAAAAAGTACGTTTGAAGACAAGAAAAAAAGAAAAACCAAATATAAAAAGCAAAAATTTAAAGCTATTCAAAATTCTACTGGCAAAAAGTGAAAGCTGAAGCATAAAATACAGTAGAAAATTTAACCTTTTCCTTTTTCTAGTACTTCAATTTGAAATATACTGCAAGTAGCTTGTTACATTTAAAATGTTACCACTGTTTTACATATAAAACTCGCTTAAACACACACACGACCTCCTTACGCAGCAACATTTAAAATGTATGTATGTGTGTATCGAAAAGGTCCTTTAGTAAACTACAAAAGGGGAGAGGTAGACATCTTTAATGTCTTCGTCATCATCATCGTTGTCGTCATCATCAAAATAACAATCTGCAACACTTTGTTGTATGAACGTATGTGTGTGTGTGTGAGAGAGCTCCTGCTTTACCTTTTTTGCAAATCAGCTCAGATTACATGGTTTATGCTAAATAGGTCCTTTTTACTCCTCTTTGTATACAAAAGAACTTGTGAGACCAGTGTTTCTTATGTGGTATTGGGTTAGGAGCAAGGTGTATAAGTACCAGCCCCTTCTTCTCTTATTACAACTTTATTTTTTGCCACTGCTGCTTAAAAATTGTGTTCTTTGCTAAAATTGTTTTAGCTTTTATATTCAAATACTGTTGTTGTTGTTGCTGTTACATTACTATATTGAAATGTGGCACAACAGCGCACCCCCCACCCAATATCAAAACTGGTTTCACTTAAATATCTTCTTATTTTCCATTGTTGCTGTAAAAGAAATCGTATATAAAAAGCATAAAAAGTGTTTCTTTTATCCATTCGAACCAAGTCAAGATGTGCTCTTTTTACTCGTTTTATGCAAAATTTTTTTAAAATCAGGCAATTGTACTCTACTACAGTTGCTTTTTACTACTCATTTTGATTTGATATAAGATGGAAAAAAATGGTATGTAGAAAACACAATATCAGCTAGAATCTAATATTTCTGATACTTACACCACTATACAAGTAGTATTAAAATGATATTGCACAGTGGGGCTTTTTATACAAATTTGAAACTACTATCGATTCCAAATATTTAACTATGCCTAGTTTTACTCTCGTAAATCTGGTATTTTAGTGATTTTTGTTTTTAAAGAAAATTTTAATATCAATAATTTTCTTTTTTTATAGAAAATTATTGATAAATTTTCTATGTTAAAGAATATTCCATAAATTTTTCCAAACTTATCGAAAATTTTATTTTTTTAGGAAATTTTCATTTATAGAAAATTTTCGATAAATTTTATATTTAGAGAAACAAAATTTTTTCTTTGAAATTTTCTATAAACTTTCTTTTAATAGAAAATTTTCGATAAATTTTCTTTTTATAAAAAAGTTTCAATAAATTTTCTTTTTATAAAAAATTTTCGATAAATTTTCTCTTTATACAAAATTTTCGATAAATTTTCTATTTATAGAAAAGTTTTGATAAATTTTCTCTTTATAGAAAAGTTTCGATAAATTTTCTTTTTATAGAAAAGTTTTGATAAATTTTCTCTTTATACAAAATTTTCGATAAATTTTCTCTTTATAGAAAATTTTCGATAAATTTTCTCTTTATAGAAAATTTTCGATAAGTTTTCTCTTTATAGAAAATTTTAGATAAATTTTCTCTTTATAGAAAATTTTCGATAAATTTTCTCTTTATAGAAAATTTTCGATAAATTTTCTCTTTATAGAAAATTTTCGATAAATTTTCTCTTTATAGAAAATTTTCGATAAATTTTCTCTTTATAGAAAATTTTTGATAAATTTTCTCTTTATAGAAAATTTTCGACAAATTCTAGAAAGTTTTCGATAAATTTTCTTTTTATAGAAAGCTTTCGATAAATTCTCTTTTTATAGCAAATGTCCATAAATTTTTGATAAATTTCCTTTTTATAGCAAATTTTCGAAAAATCTTCATTTTATAGTAAATTTTCGATAAAAATTAGTTTTATAGTTTTTTTTTTTTTTTGACAAATCTTCATTTTATAGTAAATTTTTGATAAATCTTCTTTTTTGTAAATTTTTGATAAAATTCCTTTTTTAAGAAAATATTTGAAACTTTTTGATAAATTTTCTATTTTCGAAAATATTTGAAACATTATTTTATAGAGAATTTTCAATAAATTTTCTTTTTATAGAAAGTTTCCGATAATTTTTTTTTATAGTAAATTTGCGATAAATTCTCTTTTTATAACAAATTTTAGATAAATTCTCTTTTTATACTAAATTTTCGATAAATTTTATTTTTATATTTTTTTCGAAAAATTATCATTTTATAGTAAATTTTCAATAAACTTAATTTTTTAGTATTTTATTCTTAATAAATATTTCCTTTTTTAATATTTTATTTTATAGTAAGTTTTCGATAAATCTTCTTTTTTTTTAAATATTGATAAAATTCGAAGCTTGTTGATCAATTTTCTATCATCGAAAATATTTAAAACATCTTTTTATAGAGAATTTTCGATAAATATTCTCTTAGTTAAAATAAAATTTTACATAAATATTGCGGCAAATTTTCTGCAGTATTGGGGGCAATGATTTCATAAAGTGGCCAATTGCAATGATTTCTAATGTATAAAGTTAATGAAATATTTTCCAAAAAAATCTTTTATTAATCAAAACACTGTGCAATTCAACAACATGACCAGGACTTGTTTATAAATATGCAAATTTTTTCATTCATACTATTTTTTTTTCGCAAACTTATTTGTAAATCTTTTATAAAAAAGTTTACTTTTGCAAAATAACGAAAAAAAAAAGAAAATCCTGTAACAATTTTATTTGTTACATTATTAAAAATAGCAAAAAAAAAAATAAAAAAAAAGGAATCTTAAGAAAATCACTGCCTGATATTAAAGTTCTTAGGAAACGGCGGCTACAACACACAATCTCATACAAGTTAAATAGAATAAAAATAAACCAAAAACTGTTTTATAAATTTCCTACAAACTGTCTCGGTGGTGGGAGGTTTTAATATAAAAAATCTACAAGGATTTCACTTTAGATTTCTAGCAATATTATGGGGGTCTTTAAAATAAATGTGTATAAAGATGCGTGTGTTTCAGCTTATTTTTATAATCTTAAACGGAAATTTAAAGAAATTTTTCATTATGTTTAAGGAAAATGTTTTAGCTGAAGAAGAAGAAGCAAGTATAAAAATACACAAATATTAAAATTGCTACAAAATATGCAATTTATGCTAAATATCTCGTAAATATTTTATGATTTAGTAAAAACAGTACAAGGTTAATAATTTTATGAAGGGGAGAGCAGTTTGTTGTTGTTGTTTTTTTTTTTAAGTAACTAACAGAGTCGAAATGGTAGTATTATTTAAGAGTACTTGTCATAAACAATTAGGTTACTTTTTTCCTTTAGAACAGCTTATAAATTCAATTATTCGGAATCAAAAACAAAAAAATTAAATGCAAATTTGTAGTAGCTGGTGGTGGTGGTTTTTAAAAACACATACAGCAGAGAGTACTGTAGCATAAAAACAGGCTAATTTTATGGAAATTTGTTATTATAATAAGTAGTTGATATTAATATTAACAAGAAATGGAAGCATTCAATTTAAATTTGTTGTTATTTATAGAGTTTATGGAAGAAACTATTATAAACATTAACTATAAAATTTATAACTCTGCTAAAAATGAAAAGA